GCCCGAAAGATGCCGCAGAGGTGATGTCTGACACCGACGACGGCGGCAGTGACGCGGCAAGTGCGCCGACCGATCGCCGACCGCACGCGCCGGCGCCCGCCGCGGCGTAGGCGGAGTCTGGGAGCCGGGCCGGGCCGGCGCGGACACCGAACGCCGTTCCCGCGACAACCGGCCGACCCTGGCCTCGGGCCGCCGCAGCGCGGCCGCCGTCGGCCCACTAATGGCACGTTCCCACGGCAGCGATCTGTCCCCTGTCGTCCGCGCTGTCGCCGCAGCTAACCAGCGCCGGCGGCGGCGGGCGGCCGGGGCCGCACGGCCGCCCGGGGCGCGCCCCATCCCCGGCGCCGACCAATCAGCGGAACGGTTTGTCCGTCACAGCCGTCGGGACCACGGGCGCAACCGTGAGAGCGCCGGCCAGAGCCCCTGCACGGTGGGTGTAACGACACTCTGGTCGCAGGTCAACTAGAGAGTGCAGCGAAGCGAGGCAATTTGAGATGGACAAGGGCAGTGGCTGCTCACAATCCCATCAATCCTCGTCCGGTCTTAGGTTCAGCCCTGGCTGAACGGAGGCAGCCGCAGAGGGTGCTCGTGCTTGTTTTCGGTAGCGGAGTTCTCAGGATTTTTACATCCCTCCGATCAAATGCGGAGGATGAATATTTTTTGCGGGGTGACGTTGCCGTTCATGACCCGTTTGATACATGTCAACGGGTATGTCGACCGACATTCCATGGAGTTTGACAAGCGATATCCCGCGTCTTTTGCGACGTTGTCGTGCCCTTAGAGGACTTCATGGACTGGACGACCCCGCCGGTATCCATACTGAACGGGTACATCCATGGATCGGGCATAGCAATTTGGATAAATATGCATATCGCAAGACGGAAAAATGCCGAGGACTTTGTTGATGGCGTCAGCATGAAAGAGGTACCTTGAAGGCAGAAAGGTAAGTTGTACAATACACCGGCATTGGAAGTACTTACCGAAATCTACAAGCGATTGCTAGTTATGATCCCCGGGCACAGACGGATTGCCCGCCTAGTTTAAAAGCATATTTGAGGAATGAATGGAACATTTCTTTAATAAAATGTCGTGAATAGCTGTCAAAATGTCAAACTCCAAGTACACTACAAGAGAACATTCTCACATTAAATTCTCAAACATCTGATGCCCGAAGATCAGATTGAATCACAAACACCGACAATCCTATTGAACTCAAGTAATGGGATACCTCTGTCTGCATTGGCGAATGGCATATATATATATACATATATATATATATATATATATATATATATAGATATATAGATATATAAAGACGTGGTCGGAGCCGATCCAACACGTTTCGTGCCGGAGTGCTTCATCGTGGACAGCAAGTTGAAAAACGATCTTATTCAGCACTTGAAGAAATCGGACAGGGAAGCTAATTTTCTTAGCATAGACATTCAATACACTTTGCTATGTGTTTCTTTCGTTCACATCATTTCGAGAAAAGGCATGATCAAGATCCTTTTGCTAGGTGGTTTAACCCTTGCCCTACGAAATATTTTCGACTTCGTCCTGCAAGGGGCCTCAGATGTCCCTAAGATCTCAAACACTAAGTAAGTTAGAGTCACGAGGAAAACGGAAATCCATTGCCATCCATTCCCATTGGAAATCCATTGCCAGACTGCACCAGATAAGTGCACCTGAATGATGGGAAGTGTGACCTTTGGCTAGTCAGATCAGATCAAAATGATTGAATGAGCCTAATAGAAATTACTAATCATATATCAAGACCTAATCATGCTGTGGCAATGCAGAAGACGGCGCTGAGTAGTTCTTGGAGAACTCCATCTGATAATTACTAGTCGGACACATTTGACCTATACTATGTCATACGAGGTCAGACCAGCGAAAAAAAATTATTGTGTTGGCCGCTATGGCTGTGTTAGGCCTAAACAAATCACATCAATGAAGGGAATATGTAAAAAAGACCTTCCAAAGTCGTGAAGTATGTGTTATTGAGGCTTCATTCAGATAACATTCAAAGGGTCACATCTGGCCACAAAGGTCAGAGTTTGATCAGAACCGATCAATCCGTCAAAACCCGAGACTAGACGGGAACGGCTCTGTTGTCACGCGACGCATCCAGACTTCATGTGTCCTGTTTGACTGTTAACTGGGGCGTCTGTCAGTTCGAATCGACCATTCGTCTGCTGCATCCTCCGACGCTGCTGCACCTTTGCGGCTCGCCTTTAATTCCACTCCAGGCGCTTCACCTAACCTTAAAGACGAGCGTTCGTGAAGCCACAAAGATGCTGCGTAAGACCTTAAAATCTGCAAAACGTGTCCGCATGTATGCATGTATGCCCTCTGCTCGACATTCCCCCAGGAATCGGGCGACGCTAACATGACGCCCAGGCCGTGCCAGTCCTCAGAGCAGTCACGCCTGAGCGGCAGGCGTGGCGCGTGCCGGTGTCCGGCAGGAGTCAGGCGGCGGGCGTCATGGGGCGCATCGCGGCGCGGCGGTGCGCACGGGCGCGGCGGCGGCAGAGGAGGCGGCGGGGAGAGCGCGCCTCCGCCTGCGGAGACTGCAGCTGGCCACAGGAGACCAGCCCGACCCGGACCTCGACACGGACGGCCGCCGACGGGACCTCGGCACGGACGGCCGCCGACGGGACCTCGGCACGGGCGGCAGCCGACGGGACCTCGGCACGGGTGGCCGCCGACGGGACCTCGGCACGCGGCCGCCGACGGGACCTCGGCACAGTGAGTCAGTGCCGCCTCGGACCGCGCGCTGCGGTACAGCGGAGCACGGGACTGTGTGATGGGTCGCAGCCTCTGAATCGTGGATCGTCGAATTGTGAAACTATGTGTCATGAGACAGTGTGCCTTCGGATCACGGCGCGGGGACCATCGTGAGCACGACCCATGTCGTTACGGGGTCACGGTCACCGAGGACAGCGCAGCAACGGATCAATAAAGGATGAACAAGTGAATGAACCCGAAACGGACCAAAGAACGCAGGAGCATGAAACCGTTGCGCTGTCATGCACTGAAGTCATGGGACCGTGGCATCATGCCACATGAGACCGTGTATTGCATGACTGCACAAGTATCGAATTATGGGGCTCGAGATCGCGTGCGACAGTGCAACCACGGAGCGGTGGAAGCGCGCGCCGAAACAGCGATAAGGCTAGAGGGTTTGCGGACTAGCTGCGCCCCACCGACCAGGAGTTTGTGTCTTGCACTCGAGCTATATGCCCAGGCCTAACCATTTAGTGCCTCGCGGTTAACCTCCCTGCGATACATGCTACCTGCGCATGTTGTTCTGGATTTGTATCAGCATAATGCAGTCGCGCGCATGCATACGCGTACCGACATATGGGTGAAGTTTGGCATCTGTTCAGGGCATACCCACAATATTTGGCTTGCCTTCCCCCCCACATAAAATTCAACGCGTCAAAGGCGTACCAAGCACATATACAAACAGAAAACAAATTCCGTTTTCTTAATGTGTATCTTGATTCATTTCTATGGATCCGTCAACGATTGTCGACTGCGCCCCCACCTGCGGTCATTTCTTATAAGCGATTTATACTTATTGATACGTTTATATACACATACGTATGCATATAGATACATACATATATTCTCTCTCTTTGTATATATATATATATATATATATATATATATATATATATATATATATATACATGTGTGTGTGTATAATGCGCAAATTTTTGATAATTTGATTGACTTAAGCCTGAACTGTATATACCAATGCAAAGACGTTCATTAGAAATCGGCATGAGACGTTTTTCAAACAATGGTGTGCATAACCACTCATGTTGCACGACCCCATATAATGTCAACTGCCACATCACGCCGTCGGCATGTCATAGAGCAGTTTTTTCCTTGCTCAACACATGTGATTGACACTGCTCGCGGCCGGTGTAATCGATCAGCCCGCGATAAAGTATTCGGGTGTCACGTTTCAGTACCCCTGCCGTGGGGCGCTCGGCCCAGCTCGGAACATTCCTTCACCTCAGCTGGCCAGGTGCGGCCCCGCACCGGAAATCACGGGGCAATGTTTCCGCTCGCCGCCTGCAGACTTTCTGCACGACGCGCATTCATTCCTCCTGCGCGTTTGTGTTCTCAAAGACCTCGCTGCAGCCGCATGGATTTAAAGTGGTGTACTGAACGGCGTCGGATGAAAAGTGGGATACTGAACGGAATCGGATGAAAAGTTCCTGGGTAAAATCGGCGGACAATGTCAAGGAAATTGGGCTTCCGGTGCATGGCCCATTCAAACGCTGCCGTAACTAGTCGTAAAAGTGTCGCGGACAAGTATTTTCTCGGCATCTGTCCATTCATACCCATGCAAGGCGTTGACAGACAGAGAGGCCCATGGTCGGGCGACGGCGGCCCATGGTCGGGCGACGGCGATACCGTGCCATTCTTGGAAATAACAGCCGCTTCTAGTGGTGCGATGCGATCCAGACCACATTACATCTGATTAAGTCGGATACGCTGGTGAAAGCGTTTGCAGCGTTGCCAACGAGAGAGATATTACGATTTCCGTTGTGAGCCTTATCTATGGTGTTCAGCTTAAAGCAGACAAGGTGCGGTGGACCAACGTCGCTATCTTTGGACCGAAATACATCGCATTTGCCACGCGACCACCGTATGTTTCGCCGGCCATAAATGACACCCGGTTAGATACTCCGACGACAAAGGACTGCAAAGTGGCAGGACTCGATAAATAACCCGAAGATAATGCTGTCATAAAGTTATTCGGAGGAGCTCACGGGAGTTCCCAAGGCGCTTAAACTTTTTGCAAATAAAACGCCCCATCTTCGTATTATTTGTTGTCGAAGCAAACGACTGCTTGAGATACATGCGGTTTCAGGTGAAGGCTTCGATGACCAGGCAGAACACGAGCGCAGCTGTATGTTGTGCGTACCTCTGTTGGCCTGACCTTAAACACGAAGAAGGCTCGGCCACGAAGCTACACTGACCTGACACTTGCAGGTAATGCACGGGTTTGTCTTGATCAAGCCCAGTTCCACCTTCTCCCCTTCATTGGAGCAGGGCTGCGGCCGACCTGGCGAGGTAGCAGCTTGTTAGACAGGCAATCAGCGGCCACACCACACGGAACGTCAGACAAACAATAACAGCTATGCCGCACGAGACGTCAGGCAAACAATTAACGGCTGAACCGCACGAGACGTCAGAAAAATAATTAAGAGCTACGCCGCACGAGACGTCAGACAAACAGTTAACAGTTGCGTCCCACGAAACGTCAGACAAATAATTAACAGCTGTGCCACACTGAGACATCAAACAAACAACTAACAGCTGCGCCACACGAGACGTCAAACAATTAACAGCTGTGCCGCACTGAGACGTCAAACAAACAACTAAGAGCTGCGCCGCACGAGATGTCAAACAATTAACAGCTGCGGCGCGCGAGACGTTAGAGAAAAAATCGACATTGACGTCATATGATGCGCCAGGCAAACGACCAAAGGCTATTGCCGTATATATATATATATATATATATATATATATATATATATATATATTTGTGTGTGTGTGCGTTTGTGTGTCATGAAACGTCACACGAACGAAGTCAGCTTGCATTTCAGAGGCCTGAGGTAAGTATGAACGACAATTGCATGCAAAATCTAGGCAGTGATATCAGAATACAATCAGTAGATTTTACCAACGCCGGTACAACATTATCGTTATGTCTGTATTCTGCAGGTTGAATGATCTTGCATCGTTGCAGGAGTCCTCTCAAGCTTCCATCATTTGCAAGAAATATAAAAAATGATAAGATAAAAAAGAACGCGAGAAAAGAATACGATCAGTCATTCCAACTTCAAATTCCTAGCGACATTAGGACTTGACGCTGACTTAACATGAGTCAGTGTTGATTCAAATTGTTCGAGTCAAAACAGCTGAATCAGATCTCATCCTGAGTCACGACAGAAGCTGATTCATAGAGATTCATACAGAGCGGCATCTTTCTTGATTCGATTCAGAATGTCAATCGAAGCAAGCACATGGCTGGTGCCCACCGCAGTAGCTAACCTGAGTCCCAAGGTAAACATTTGATGGGACTTAAACTTGCATCAACTCCCAAATACTTTGAACTGCCGTTGCACTAAACACTACACTGGGGTCGTATCCAGGTGCCGCAGTCAAGATTTTCTTGACGTGAAGGTGGAGTCCAGAGACCACGAGAGAATCATCACGTTTTTCTTTGATTCTCTCATCACGAGAGAACCAAGGAAGTCGTCTATGATGCTGAAGCAAAAACACCAACCTATGGGAGACTCCCTCCTACTGCGCCCCTGCTCAAACCCCGTACACACTAGGTTCTCAGAACCGGCCAGACATTTACCTGAGGGGAGTGGCCTCGTAATGAGCCGAATAAGAAGCTAGATAAGGCACTGATGGGCGTGGCAGGATAGCCGTTTGATATGAGTGGCCGGGCGCTCGGCTCAACGCAGCGGTCAGATAATCAGCCGGAAGGATCGAGGACCAGCCAGATAAAAGGCTGATGGGGAAGGACAGGCAGTGAGAGCTACGTGAGCGACCAGTCAGCTGATACGATGGTCAGACAGTCGACCGAAAGCAGTGACCACACAAACACACGATGGAGTGCCCAACCAGCTGGCTAGGAGAGGGGTCAGAAAACCAGCTGCAGACTAGAATTGCAAATACAACATAGGTCATCCGGTAGCGCACCTCATCCAGATGCTGGCAGAACAGTCCGCCACACTCCCGCCGGGCTTTCCCGGACGTTCTCCCAACATCCTAGGGGCGCTCAGGTGGTCCAGGTCCTTCCCGGGCGCTTCAGCCTTCTCCGCAGCGGCGTGACGGTCTGTTAGGACTGGCCAGGTAGTAATCTGTTTGTTGCTTTTGATCACCGCCTACCCTCTGTATACTTTATGCAGGATCTAGCACAAATGTTGCGGATCGAGACGTTTACCGGATCCGGGGTTGGTGTATCACAGAAGGTAAACGTTGACTTTGAACCAACAACAGCTATAAGCGGGACATTGCATGTGGTTTGTACCAACTGACGGGGGGGGGGGGGGGGGAGACGTGGTGTGAGCGTGGGTGGGTGTGGATGTGGTGAGTGACATCGCGACAGTACCTGGGAAAGGCGGGTCTGTCATCCGGGTTGCAGCCCCAGTTGTGACCCCCATTTTCTTGAGAACATCACCACTTCGGTCGACCCCAAACGATAGCGTCCTCTCCACCCCAGGTGAGACCTGTCTGACCCCACACAGCTCGCCCCCCCCCCCCCCCCCCTTCCTCTGGCCCCTTTCGCGGCTGCCACCCGCCACCGCAGCGCTCAGGGCGCGGTTTCACAGTGTACACAGGTCAGGTCACAGGTCTGTGGCGCATGAGTTCCGTCCAGAGGGGGGCAGCCCACGGGCCGATTCTGGTCGTCAGTGACCGCCGCGCCTATAGGCGCCAGTCGTCAGTGACCGCCGCACCTCCAGGCGCCGGTCGTCAGTGACCGCGGCATGCCCAGGCGCCGGTCGTCAGTGACCGTCGCATGTCCAGGCGCCGGTCGTCAGTGATCGCCGCGCTTCCAGGCGCCGGTCGTCAGTGACCGCCGCGCCTCCAGGCGCCGGTCGTCAGTGACCGCCGCGCCTCCAGGCGCCGGTCGGTCAGTGACCGCGGCATGTCCAGGCGCCGGTCGTAAGTGACCGCCGCACCTCCAGGCGCCGGCCGGATTCATCGAGAAAAGACCGCATCTTTTTATGTTGGTCAGTTTTTAGGCTTGGAACTACACATTTAGACCGTGACATCGCACTGGTTGAATAGCCTGGGATGTAGGTTTTCGTGCACACCGCCGACAACACGCCAAAACTTTTGGCCACAAATACACATGTCACGCACCCGAATAGGCTTCAGGGACAGTTGCGGGGGCAATTTTTGAAGTCACGAGTAAGCCTTGGACACCTTAAAGATCGGTAACTGCGCTTTTACTTGACGCAGCTGGCTGCTGCGGTCCGCGGCGCGGGTTCGTCCTTGACACTGGTACGAGCCTGCGGCCCGCCGTGTCGGCTCGGGCCGGCCGGAAGCACGCAGTCGGACCGGCGGAGGACAGGACGGGCCACCTGTTCCGGCGCGCCGCCGGCCGGCCGCCAGCTCTGACTCACGCAGCACGCCGCCGCGTCAAACGCAGTCGTCTGCCAGCGGTTTTTTGCCGGCGTGGCGGAAACTCTTACGAGTCATCCGAGATAAGGTGATGATTGACGGGTGGCGGCGGGCGGCTCGGCCTCGGGCTGTAGCGTGCTCGTGAACACTGGTTACTGGTTACTTGGGTTAGAGCCCTTTCGAGCAGAATTGATCGTTTCGGGGTTATGGGATGAAGGAAAATGGACAACGGTGGGGTAGGACTACATGCGCCTGGGGTACCAACCACCGAGCTGCTTGCTTGCCGAGTACTGGAGCAAAACTAATCATCACGAAAAGAGTGCAAGTGAACCGCATTTATCTTACGTGTCTCATACTTAAGTCGACATTTTAGCAAGCCATTGGCACTCTTAAGATAACATAACCTAAATTCCACTACGCGCAGAGAATAGCATAATGTAACACCAAACATTACCTACGAACAGCCCATAAAATTATGGAATACGGTAACGCGCACAACGTAATTTTTTCCCAGCATATACACGTCAGATTATTAATTTGTTTTTTCGTTGTTTTATGATCACGCGATTCCTACCAAGTCTGCACAGGCAACTTTAAAGCGCAAGTCATGTCAACGTATTTTAAAGAGCGAAATCACCCCCCGCTACAGCATTCATCTCGTTTTTGTCCGTGTGTAACAGGTGTTCTCCATGGGCCCAGTGGGACTCTTTCATACAGGGATAGGGTTCCTCGGGCGTCGTTGCCTGTTGACAGATGGGTCCATGAAAAGTGCCTTTCGGAGATTGCCCGCTCCGCCCAAACTATAACTACCTTGGATTGACGATTTCCCCCTCAGAGCCGCTAAGCTCTCATGCATCGGGACCTGACAACGTACGGCCCGTTTCTTATTTAAATAAAAGGCATATTACAAAAGTGACACTTCTTGCCGATGTAAAACATGGGACAGAACAGATCAGTTATGTTCTCACAAATGTTAAATACACTTGACGCCGCATGACTTACTGCTTAATGGCAGAGGTATTTAACGGGAAAATGCAAATCACACTGGTAGGATAGTCGGGTTAAAGATCATGATGTCACTTTCAAACAGCTGTCATGCCAGTCTATCGCATACTCCTCTGGACCGTCGCTTGCTTTGTGGATGCATTGTCAGACGTCAACTAAACGATGTCATTTTTTGTCTATGTGGTATACGTTACCGGCTGCATAGTCCTCATGGGTACATGAAATTCAGTGCATTTTATTTCCATGTTCCAAAGGGCCGGTATCCCTTCAAACGTTGTATGCAACGCCTAAGAAGATGTCTTGGTGTTCTGCTAGTAAATGGTAAGCGGCGAATTTTGCCGCGGTTACTAAGATCTCCACTTTGTGACAAGCGATACTGCGGAGGGCCTAGTTATTCTTCTTCCAGGCTGGCGCTGTGGTACTTTCAAAGAGAGGTCGGATACCATTGATAGGCTCATTTCACTTCTTCCTATCTGGGCTGTGTTATGTAGCCAATGTCTTCTCACAAATGAGATAAAATCCGCGCTGGTATAGCCATAGCTTGACAAGAAATTCCCGGATTTTTGTGTTTCCTAAGGTTCTAGTCTTATCTTCCCCATTTGTCGGCATCGTCCACGTCCGTAAATCTATCATCCCACACATCGACAACATTTGCGAGATTTCAGGTTCACCTCCAGAGTTCCCTCCACCACTCTGTGCGCTGCGTACTTGAATCAGGCAGACCACTCGACAACCCGCGGTTAGGAGCCGCCGTCGCCGGACGCTGCGGGGCTGCTGGTGCGCGGCAGACGCGGCGCGTCCGGGTGGTGCGACAGACGCGACGCGTCCGGGTGGTGCGCGGCAGACGCGGCGCGCCCGGATGCGTGACGAGCGCTGATAGTGGCGCGGCCGGACCGAGCTCTTCGCTCAGGGGGTGCTGCAGCCGGCGAGCAGTACAGACTTGTGCCGAAACTCGGCATAATACCAGGCTTCTCAGCGCGTGGCGTGAGCGTGTTCGTAAAAATGGTCAAAACGGTAGCTGAAATGCGGAGGAAATGGAACTGCATTTCCCACACCTATACTTAATGGTTAACAGCGATCTTCGGACGTAGCAAATTTACCACCATGACACGGTCTATGGGTTAAATTGAATGCATCTCATTGTGTTAAGACCTATAAAATGCAAACACGCTCGCATAGGTTTAACTTCTGTTCGGTGCTATCACATCTCTCAGAAATTTCATACCATGTTAGTTTCAGTACCAAGGCGTTATCATTGGATCTCATAGCTGACTTTCATCACTGGATATGTTGTCTGTATCTGATGGTCGCACGTCACATGGCTGATCGACGCTTTAGATCTCCTGTCAGTACCCGAAGCCTGCATCCACCGCTTCGACAGCTGATTATCCGGACAGCTGATTGCCCGAACAGCTGACTGCCCGAACAGCTGACTGCCCGGACCACTGACTGTCCGGGCCGCTGACTGTCCGGGCCGCGGACTGTCCGAGCAGCTAACTCCCCGGACCGTGGACTGTCTGAACGACTGACGGTCTGCCCACCGCGTCCGTCGTGCATCGCGGCGCTGTTTTTGCCGACGCGTTGTATCAGTGCGCGTGTGTGGCGCCGCCCGCCCGGCCAGAGGAGAGAGATGGGCCTGCACGGTCGGGACGGCCGCCGCCCGCCCGGCCAGAGGAGAGAGATGGGCCCGCACGGTCGGGACGGCCGCCGCCCGCCCGGCCAGAGGAGAGAGATGGGCCCGCACGGTCGGGACGGCCGCCGCCCGCCCGGCCAGAGGAGAGAGATGGGCCCGCACGGTCGGGACGGCCGCCGCCCGCCCGGCCAGAGGAGAGAGATGGGCCCGCACGGTCGGGACGGCCGCCGCCCGCCCGGCCAGAGGAGAGAGATGGGCCCGCACGGTCGGGACGGCCGCCGCCGCGCCCGCCCGCCGACCGGCCGTAATTGGCGGGTTTTTGCCGGGCCCGCTCCGCCGCCGAGGCCGGCCATCTAATGCAGTCTGTGTGTAGCATTGATACGCCGGTCGACCACCGATTACATTCTGGGAATAGCTCAAAGTTGGACCGCGTGGTTGTTTGGGGTCTCGGCCGGGTCAGGCCCTGCCAGACGGCGTTCGTACCTGCACACATCTGGAGCTTTTGTGTGTCATACATCGCCTCAGGTCATGTCATGGTATTGATCAGATGTAGCTTCTTTGTTCATGTGGCGCTCAGTCAGGTTTACGGTACTTGACGGTTCGGATCGCTGCCTGTTCCCTGCATCCTCCCGTTTTCATGGTCGATGGCCAGGTCTGTCCTACGGATCTCCTTGAACCTTGCTCAGGATGCTTGTCCCTTCCCTATGTATTTGGCCTCGTTGGCGGATTTCGTGTTCATGTGCTATGAAATCGACAATCGACCTTAACACTAAGGCCGTCCGGGGTCCAAGTTGGATTTTTCAAGGCACGGTTGGCGATACTCTACAAATTGTCTCGCTGGCAGAATTCATAGGTCTCTATATATTTGCAAAATTTGTGCATTTTGCCGCTTTCCCGCGAGCACTTGACCACCCAACCTCAGCATTTGGTGAACTGTCGTCATCATCGTATTGGAGCTTCACAACGCACTCAGCTGCTGAGGCTATACAGCGGTCGCCTGCCTGTCACGCTGACAGGCAGGGCGGACACCGCGGGGAACCGAACCCCGCACCTCCGGTTTTCCAGTCAGTTAGCGGACTGTCCGACCTGACGTGCCGCGGGGAGCAGCCCGGCCAGCGGCACCTCTGACCTTTGGGGAAGGAGTAGCCGTGGCCCGAGGCGATGACGGCCGGTGTCAGCAGCAGCACGGTTGTCACCAGCCGTAGCATGGCCATCTGCCGGCAGCACCCATCGGGTCAGGTCACGGGTCAGGTCACGGGTCAGGTTGCGGCGGCGCGAGTAACGAGGGGAGGTATCGTTCAGAGCACTAGACAGCCCTGGACGAGTTCAAAACAGTTTCAGGCATCACGGGTCCGGATGTGGATCGACATATTTTATGACGATCATCATGGTACCGATTCAGATCTGATGACGCCGTGATTGTTGTCATTTTGGTCTCAGAGCGCTTATCAAAATCACAGCAGTACGACATTGGTTAAGTCGTGAACAAGCCCTTTCCTTAAGTTCCCGATGGTCTAAAAAGCATGGTACGTTCACCCAAAATGGACACTTTGCCAATGATGCCACAAACAATTACACCGATACAAATATAAGCGCATGAGGCAGGTGTACACGGGCGTCCGGCCAGTGGCAACTGCAAGCGCCCGCGTTTGCCAGGGGTCGCCAGCTTTGTCGGCCCGAGTGAATCGCGCCGCCGCTCCCACTCCCGGCGCGCGAGCACTCGAGGCAAGCGGCGGGACGATACAGTGCCAGGCGGAGGCAGATTGGATCGCGCCGGTACAGTCCGGGTAAACGAGGACCATTTATCTGCAATAATTCATGACGATTCATAACATCTGCGGACCCAAATCACGGGGTATCGGCTCGGGTATTCTTGTAATGGAGGCTGCTGGGTATTTAGGGCTCATGAAACGCTATCTAGCAATCACCGTGCACAGTTTGAGTTATAATACAGATAGGCTATTAATGATGCACAACGAGCAATAATAATGAATAATCAAAGTGGGAATGAGTGGCAGTCCGTACCAGCGCTCCCACAGCCACCTGAGAAATCCCGTTACGGCGAACAGCGGCGCCGCTCAGCGCCGTCTCCCAGCGCCAGCTTCCGAGCTGGCAGCACCAGCTTCCAGCACCAGCTTCCAGCACCAGCTTTCAGCAGCAGCAGCCCTCAGCGCCAGCTGTCGGAGCTAAACCCCAGCACCAGTCCCGACACCAGATCGCGGCAGTAGCTCGCAGCACCAGCTCTCGGGGGAGAGAGCTGGCGGCGGTCCCGGCACCTGTTGCTCCCGGGCGGCGGGCGACCGGCGACTAACGACTGGCCGGGCCGGGACCGGGACGGCGGCCGGGCCGGGCCGCGCCGCGCCCCCTCGCGGCGCGGCGCCCCCCGGCCCTGGGTGGCCGACCACCGATGCCACCGATAGCCGGCTATAATGGCCCAAAAGTCATCAGCCGGTCGGTGGATGATGGATGGGCGCATTTGTCTTGTCTGCGCCGGCCGGCGCGACAAAGTGACCGGCCGCGCCCGGTGCCGCCGCCACCGCTCGCTCGCGGAGCCGGCGCCGACGAGAGAGCCCCCCCCCCCCTCACACCGGTGTCTCGTCTTGTCCCGTGTCAGCAGGTGAGTAGGGGAGTGACTAATGACCGCGTTGCGTGGAGCGTCCGACGCCAGCTAAGTACGGCATGGGCATGTTTTGCGTTTTGATTTCACGAAGCCGAGGACGTCAAGGCCGTCTTCATTTCACAAAGCCGAGAGCCCTCTATACGTGTCCGCACGCTGAAGCGGAGCCTCCCTGGACGGCGCTGACCGCTCGGTTTACGGCTGGAGGTAACGCTACCCGCTTGTGACGCACGCGCGACTTCCCGCCGACGTGCCGCCTCGCTCGCAATGCGGCGCAGGCGCTGCAGGCGCCGCGGCGTTTTCGCGTCATCGCCGCCTGAGTGACCTCACGACGTCAGTATTCACGCCGGTATCTGCCGACTCCAAACAGCGGCTGCAGGCGGACACGCCGCTCGCCACGGTCCGAACGCGGGCCTCTGGTGACGGCGCCGATCTCAGTACGATCCCGGACGAGCGCGGCGCGGCACGCGGTGCGCTCCCGGAGAGCTCAGCGGGCCCGAGCGCGGGAGCCAGGCCACGATCAACCATGTCCCCGGAGCGGGGAGGTGGGTTGCCTCTCGAGGGATTCTTTTAATGGGTCTGGTCGAGCACGAGCCAAGCACGTTGGGTGAATCATCAGTGAGGTAACGGATGATTTCGGATCTGGGACAGTCTTCTCCGGCTGAAATTAGCGTCGACCTAACTGCATCAAATCGGAACTGAAAACATCCTACGTTGATTCGAACACTATCGATCCCGTGGGACTGAGTCGAACACTATCGATCCCGTGGGACTGAGTCGAACACTATCGATCCCATGGGACTGAGTCGAACACTGTCGATTCCGTGGGACTGCGTTGCGCGCAAAGCGTTAAATAGCATGCAAGGATTACACGGGTAGGTCTGAAGCACAGTCGTTCAAAGGTCGCGAGATTCGAACGTCGCACGTACGGCCTCTTATCAAAAGGCTGCAAACCCTATCACAAGACCAATAATCATTGGTATTCGACCTTGCGCCTTGCAGGAGGGCCCCCGAACTGTCAATAAGCTTCCGTCTGATACTGGACGAATTAGGCTACCGACAACATCGGACTCGGCGAAGTCGCACGGAATGCCGCGGCTCCAACGGTCCAACACCTCCCAGTCAAGCAAAAAATTAGGAGCCATCGATACGCGAGGACCATGCCGAGCGGGCGCATCAGCCAGGCCTGTGTTGCATCAGACGGCTCCTGTGCCGTACCAGCCGGCTCATGTACAGTACCAGCCGGCTCCTGTACCGTACCAGCCGGCCCCTGTGGTCTACCAGCCGGCTCCTGTGCCGTACCAGCCGGCTCCTGTGCTCCACCAGCCGGCTCCTGTGCTCTACCAGCTGGCTCCTGTGCTCCACCAGCCGGCTCCTGTGCCGTACCAGCCGGCTCCTGTGCTCCATCAGCTGGCTCCTGTGCCGTACCAGCCGGCTCCTGTGCTCCACCAGCCGGCTCCTGTGCCCTACCAGCCGGTTCCTGTGCTCCACCAGCCGGTTCCTGTGCTCCACCAGCCGGTTCCTGCGCTCCACCAGCCGGTTCCTGCGCTCCACCAGCCGGCTCCTGAGCCGTACCAGCCGGCTCCTGTGACGCATCAGCCGGCTCCCGTGTCGTACCATCCAACTCCTGTGCCGTAGCATCCGGCTCCTGTGCCGTACCAGCCGGCTCCTGTGACGTACCATCCAGCTCCTGTACAGTATCAGCCGGCTCCCGTACCGTACCAGCCGCCTCCTGCCCGTACCATCCGGGTCCTGACCGTACCACCCGGCTCGCCAGCCGGCTCCTGTATCTTCGGCGGCTCCTGTACCGCTGATGGGTCTCAGGACGCTGTCGGGGTCCGTGCCGCCGTGGCGTCGGCAAGACGCTGTCGGGGTCCGCGCCGGCGCGCCGTCGCGACGTCGGGTGGCGACACGGGCCACCCACCGCCGGCATTCCTCCCATCAACACACACTGCGCTATCGAGCGGAATCGTGTCCGGACCCGGCGCCGGCCACAGAAGGCGGCAGGGGAAAGGGTAGGGCAGGCGCCGGCGCTTGCTGCCCCCCCCCCCCCCCCGACACGAGACCGTCTCCGGCGGCCGCCGGCGCGTCCTCGCGCGGCCTCGGCCGGCCCGGGTCATTAGCATACAGCTGAGCGGTCAGCAGGAACGGCGGCCGAGAAACGCCAGAGATCAATCACAGACTGGTCACGACCCGGCTACCGCAGGGGAACACTGCCGCCGACCTGCAGGGGAACACAAGGGCAGGACTACAGGGGAACACCGCAGCTGACCTGCAGGGGACACGCACCGCAGCTGACCTGCAGAGAACACAGGGGCGGGTCTACAGGGTAACACCGCAGCCGACCTGCAGGAGAACACAAGGGCAGGACTAAAGGGGAACACCGCAGCTGACCTGCAGGGGACACACACCGCAGCTGACCTGCAGGGGACACACACCGCAGCTGACCTGCAGAGAACACAGGGGCAGGTCTACAGGGAAACACCGCAGCTGACCTGCAGAGAACACAGGGACAGGTCTACAGGGAAACACCGCTGCTGACCTGCAGAGAACACAGGGACAGGTCTACAGGAGAACACCGCAGCTGACCTGCAGGGGACACAGGGGCAGGTCTACAGGGAAACACCGCAGCTGACCTGCAGGGAACACAGGGACAGGTCTACAGGGAAACACCGCAGCTGACCTGCAGGGGGAACACAGGGCAGGTTCTACAGGAAGAACACCGCAGCTGGCCTGCAGGGGAACCACAGGGGGCACGTCTACAGGGAAACACCGCAAGTGGTTGTACCTGCAAGGGACAACAGGACAGTCTAACAGGAGAACCCGCTGCTGACCTGCAGGGAACCAGTCTCGCAGTGACCTGCAGGGGACAAGGGAGGTCTACAGGGAACCCGCAGGTGGCCTCAGGGGAACACAGGCAGTCTAAGGAACACCGCAGCTGACCTGCAGACACAGGAACTACAGGAGACAGGTGACTGAGGAAAGGGGTCTACAGGGAAACACCGCAGCTGGCCTGCAGGGAACACAGAGACAGGTCTACAGGAGAACACCGCTGCTGACCTGCAGGGGACACAGGGGCAGGTCTACAGGGAAACATAGGAGCGAATATATTATGTGCAGGTCCGCAGAGGATCACAGGAGCGAACCCACTGAACACGGGCCTGCAGGGAAGCACAGGGTGAATCTTCAGGGGAACACACAGGTGAACTTGCGGGAGAACACAGAAATAGCGGGAGTTTTTTTGTGCGCCCGCACATTGGCGCTGGCAATGGCCTGATTTGGGCGTGAGGGGAGCGAGGTATGCTCCACTTTATCGAATAGCTTACAAAAATGCGCGGAGCTCTTGGCACATTAAGTCGAACCTTACCCTGTGAAGAGTCGCGCGAAGGCATCCGTGCCCATAAGTGGTGACAAAAGGTGCAAGGAGTCGTGCAGAACAAACACGGTAGCTCAAGGGCTTTATAAAAAAAAACAGACACCATCCACAAAGAGCAGTAGTATGATGTAGAAAATTCACGGCGGAGATATATTTGGAGGACTTGCGAACAAAGTCGCCGCGTGCTTGCGTAGTACAGAGAGCTGGTCTACCGGCCGTAA